CCTCTCACTGTTGTGGCCTCTCCCGTTGTGGAGCACAGGCTCTGGACGCACAGGCTCAGTGGCCCTGGCTCCCGTGGGCCCAGCCGCTCCGCGGCACGTGGGGTCTTCCCGGACGGGTGCACGAACCCGTGTCCCCTGCATCGGCAGGCGGACTCTCAACCACTGCGCCACCAGGGAAGCCCCTGGGAGATGCATTTTTAAGAGCATTTCAACTTTTTCATTGAACTTAGAATTGCAAAGTGCACACTTCTAGCCACTCAGGCTCCTGCTTAGAACAAACAGGCCATGAAGGAAGCAAACTAACTCAAGGTGACCACCCACGGATATCTTCCTCCTCAGAACAAGCCTCCCTGCTCAGTTTCCCACATTCCTTCAGCTTTAGCTCCAGGAGCCACAACATATCAGGGCCTCTACCCAGCTCTTCCTTCTGCTTAACCAGCAGGAAGAAAAGAGACAATCAGCTATGAAAGTCCAGCTCTGGTCGAGCCCCCATGACCTAGCTAGGTGGTTTGCAACATCACCCTTGGAGTGTAACCTTCCTTAGAAAAATCTTGCTGAGGTATGAGCACTATTTTCAGTTCAGGTTCAACTCTTCAGTGAGATTCTATGGGGATAAGAGGATGTCGTGGCGGAAAGAGATAAAAAGCAGCGTTTCGGCCCAGTACCAACACCCATGTGTGCCTAGAGGTGGAAGGACTGCGTGTGCAGAGGGGAGGAAAAATACAACTGGAGGAGGGCCTCGAGGGAGGTGGGGAGAAAGGGAAGAAGGGGTGAATGTGGTAAGAAACGGCAGAGGGTGATGTAGCGCGCCTTCCAGTTCCACTCAGACAGTGACCGCGTCCCCCTTCCCCCGCCCATCCAATCCCCACCGAGGGAAGGAGTGTGTGTCTTCAGTCACTGGTCCACCGTCACTACTGGTGATTTACTCAGCACCAATCAGCAGTGTGCAACTCGCTGCTGATTCTCCGGGGCACTCAGCCAGCCATTGGCTGATGTGTCACCTGGTCAAGAGACCACGACCCTCAACCTCTCCTCCCCACCCCCAAACCCCAGAGCAGGGCTCGGACCACCTCCCACCCTCAACTCCTGCTGCGAAGGCAGGTAGTAGGCAGGAGAATGTGATGAAACCCTTTCAATTCTCTCCTTTACTACATCTGTCCAGAGAAAAAGCAAGTCTAACAGCAACAAGAGAGCAAGCAATGGAGCTGCAGATGTCACGATTCGCACTGAGGAAACAAAGTAGGGTGCTCCGGACTGCAGCCCCTTCCCACGGCCTGGGGTCTCCTGGTATCGCCCTCCTCACCCAGGACAGCTGCACCTCCTCCGACCAACCGAACTCCGCTACTTGGAGCCCCGCGCGGAGTCTTCCTTTCCTTCTTTAGAACAGAGCTTAGATGGGGATGAATGTTTCCCCCGAAGACTTCTCAAGAGAAGGCAATACATTTGCACAGACCTGATTTGGGGTGCAGCGATGTACAGGAGAAAGGGGAGGAGGAGGAGCACGAGCAGGACCCCAATCATCTCGCGGGGAGGCAGGTGCGGCTGCCGGAGGTGAGCGAGATGCCCCAGCGGTGCTCGCCGGCTGTCGCCTCTCTTCCAAGACACGCCCTTGTAAAGTGCGACAGCCCGGGGAGTAAAGCTGTCTGGGAAATGTAGTCCAAAGCTTGGCATGTGAGCACGCTATTCCCAGACGCTGAGAGAAGCTGACTCTTGCACCAGATACGCAACGGGTCCCCAACCAGCTAGGGTCTAGGGCTTTTGGGATCATCGAACCAGCTCTCCCATGGCCCTTCTGGCCACCATGAAATCTCCCCTCTCTGTGCCGGTGCCTAAGTCCAGACCCTGGTTCAGTTTTCCCCACTTATGGTTAGGCGGTTACCGCATGTTTCTCCTGGAGGTCAAATATTGGCGCCTGGGAAAAAGAGGAGCGGTTGGAGTCTGACAGTTGGGGGGGAGGGGGGAATCTTTCCTCCTTAGGGATTCCTTCACGCAAAGAAGCAGAAGCAATCGGTCCCTGAAGACACTACCAGGAGAATCATTTTATTGTGTCTTTTTGGAATTATAATGAAATATAAAGTATAGTCATAATTTTCCCGGTGTTTGAGTGTGAATTGATGATAGAATATAGTTTTCTTGATGACTTGGGTTAGTTATATTAACTTCCAGGGTAGCAATGGATTTCTCAGATTAGCACAGTTGGTTTTGCCTACTCATGAAAGTATTTAATCCTGTCTTGAATTAAAGCCATGGAAATTCTCTGGGAACAAGCAGCTTCCCTGGTCAGTCACTCCTTTCAGTCTGCCATCTGAGGACTATGTCTCGTTTCCTTGGGGGTGAAGGTGGGGAATGTTTTAAGTCATTATCTGTCTGTGGTCCCTGACTACACACAGTAATGTATTCTGGTTCTTCTGGATAATTCATTTCCATTTGATTGAAAGACACATATTCCAAGCTCAATTTGAACCAATATATTTTATAGCAATTGGAGCGGAGAGGGTTTCCTTCACACAATACAAATTTCTACTGATTTAACATTATATTATCTAAGTCATCAGACTTTGTCACACGCTCATTATTGGGTTACCTAATATTTGAATAGAGTTTTACATCTGTATTAAAAGCTTTTCCCATGTTTTGTTCCTTATTCATTCACTCATTTACTTGACAAATGTTTATGGTATTCCTACAATGTACTAGGCACTCTGCTGAGGTCCAGCAAGGAGCCTAGTACAAGGGAGAAATTACCTCTGCAACAAGTGATCACTGTGAATAAATTGTGACGAGGGTTATGAGGGAAAATAGAAAAAGCTTTGGAAGGTCATAGCAGGAGACCTCTCCTGGTCTGGAAATCAGGAAGGCTTCTTTGAGGAAATAACTTTTGAGCTGAGGCCTGAGGAAGGTCAGGAGTTAGTGGGCAAGCAACATATAGGCAAGAGTGCTCTGAGCAGAGGACTTGAGTGAGTGCACTTGATGGTGCAGAGTTAAAACAGGGGCCACTAGAACAGTGGAAAACACTGGTCTAGTTGAGGCACAGGGGCTATGGGCAGTGCCAGAAATGGCAATAACAGCCAGTGCTTATTATGTGCCAGGCCCTGCCCTTTATATCTATTAACTACCTTGACTCTCATAACAACTCTGTGAGGTAGGTACTATGATCTTCCCTATTTCACAGACAAGGAAACTTGAAACAACAAGGTTAAATACGTTAGCCCAGGACATAGTGGCAGAGCTGGGATTCAAACTTAAGCAGGTTGTATCCATGGTCTGTGCCCTTAACGACTGAGCAGTGTTGCCAAAAATGAGGCTGGAGAACTTCTTATACATATGCACATTTGGGCATCTTCACAAAATTTGCATGCAATTTCATCCATGGAACCCAGATTAAAAACAATTGGGGGACTTCCCTGGTGGCGCAGTGGTTGAGAGTCCGCCTGCCGATGCAGGGGACAAGGGTTCGTGCCCCGGTCCGGGAGGGTCCCACGTGCCGCGGAGCGGCTGGGCCCGTGAGCCATGGCCGCTGAGCCTGCGCGTCCCGAGCCTGTGCTCCGCAGCGGGAGAGGCCACAGCAGTGAGAAGCCCGCATACCACACACACACACAAAAACAATTGGTTAAACCTGTCAATTTTAATAATGTAATAGGGAGTTATTTACAAGCAAAAGCGAGTTTATTCAGAAATAGCCATGGGAACCCGCAATTCAAGATATGCAAACTATGGTGGCCCATGGCAACTCCAGAGAACAAGGAAGTGGAGCTTGCTCTTATAGCAAAAGCGGGGGGGGGGGGGGGGGGGGGGGG